TAATGTAAGTACATATCTAACAGAAATATATAACATAGATACAGTTATTTTTGCTATTTTTAATGCAGAAAAAATACATATTGTGGCTTTAAGTGTAATTGATGATATTGCTCCTGGGAAAGGAACAAGTGGTAGACAAAAAACACCTTGGAGAAACTCAACAGCTGTGGAAAATATGAAAAGACAATGCAGAAGAGCAGAACGCATGTGGTGGAAGACAAAAGTTGTAGTCCATTATAACATCTACAAAGAGAGCATCCATGATTTAAATATTGAGCAAAGCTACATAGACTTTCTTCTCGAATATTGTAAACAGTAACTTAAACCAGTGGTTCCCAACCTTTTTTTGTCTGTGACCCCCTTTTTCCCAAGAAAATATTTTAGGGCCCCCCTACACATTTAATGATATTATCGCTCTTGTAAGCTTGCAGCAAGGATACAAAATATGGTTTTTGTTTCAAACAAACGGTATGTTTATGCACAAATAATAGCCTATAATTTTGAAAATACAATGACTAAAACATCAGTAGGCCCTTTGTAATTTAACAACGTAAGCCTAGGAGAAGCCTATTAATTGGCCCTATCTGAAATGCAAAAATAAAAATATTCACACTGGTGTTTAGGTTAAAAAAAAGAATATCGGCTATTAAATGACTGTTATCTGGGGCCTCAATACTTGCATGTTATCTGTGAGGCTTTATCAATGTGAGGCTTTATTTTTACGCTTTTGGCGCAATAGCGAGCGATAATAAACTCGCATTTATTAACAGAATAATGCGTCTTTCGGAAAGAACAGTGTAGCCGGAACTACTTCTCTCTGTGTAGGTCTATGACGAGTCACGCAGACTACTGTAGTACTCCGCAGTGGCAGCGATCCGAACCAGTGTAAAATAGTCCCAATGTAAACAGTTATTATAGGTGTACCATAGTGGTTCAGGATAAGACAAAAACACGGATTGGAAAATGGAATCATGATGAACTCACTCATTATATATATATTGTACATTTTGAACAGAAAAAAAGTTAAGGACTTTTATTTAATGCTCATTGCTCAAACCTTCAAAATATGCCACGACCCCCCCCCCCCCCCCACAGAGCTTGCTGAGGCCACCTGGTGGGGAACCGATGACTTAAACAACATGCACAACATCCCGTTTTCATCCGGTTTTCTGTGATAGTCCTAAAATGGTTCAGGTCATACTTAGAAGGGAGAGGTTATTATGTGAGTATTGGAGACCATAAGTCTGAGTGGACATCAATGACTTGCGGAGTCCCTCGGCTCAATTCTTGCACCACTCCTATTCAATCTGTATATTCTCTCAATGAGCAAATTAAATAAAAATAGTATAATTAAAATTCTACATATATTTTATCTGACTCATGAGCCATTGAAAATATTTGCAAATCAAGAGAAAAAACTTGGCAAGGTCCAAATGAGCCAGCAAAAGTTTTTTTTTTTCTTGAGCCCTGCAGGGGCTGTATACAGAATAGTTTTCACTAAGACATTGTGTCAAAGACTCTTGTCTTGCCTTATGTAATCTCTAATCTGCATAATAATCATGGCAGTCACAGAAAAAACCTGTTGTTTGATGCAGGCAAGTGAGACAAACTATTACAGTACATAGCGATGCAATTATCTTTACTTCTTTCACAGTCAGATGTTTTGTTTGACAGAATGTGTGAATTCGAGTTCAAAGCATCACATGCCATTAATCCAAAAGAAGACAAATGCCTCCTCAATCCAGGATGTGCCTGGCAACTGTAACTAACTCCTTTCTGAGTCCTTTTAGAGCAGGCTAAAGCGTGACCCCGGATGAAATACCAAAGTCAAGTTCTTTGAAATGCAGTTATAAAAGACTTCACACATCGAAACAAGGAAACACAATGTACGTTTGGCACAAAATGCAGGAAACGTGGACGAAGGACAGAATATCTGTCAGTATAGGGCTTTGTGAAGCTGGTTGATCTGGTTTCAACTGGCAGGAGTTTGATCTGTTAGTCAGTTTGATGAGTGCTGCAGAAAAAAAGGAAGATCTTGGACATGCCTTTCCTTACATCATCACTCAGGGTTTCAGGGGGGGGGGGGGGGGGGGGCAGAAATATTTCAAACGCAGCATCTGAGGTTAATTGCCAAAATCGTATGCACACAATTGTTGTCTGGACAGATCCATTCTAATTCAAATGTAGAATAATGTTGGTAATTTTTTTTCAATTATACACACACACACACACACACACACACACACACACACACAACTTAATGTCACTGTAAGTATAAATATATATACGAGCATATAAGAGTTATAGCCCTAAAGTTATCTGTGCATTAAGATGCAGATGTTAGAGCAGTCAGTGCAATATATATATATATATATATATATATATATATATATATATATATATATATATACACACACACACACAGAAGATATGCTCTAGTTGTGAAGGAGGTAAATGGTATTGATTGTAATTGTATAAGATTATAAAAATGTATGGTCCAAGTATCCAAAACTCAGTGTGTGTCCAACCTCTTGTAGACTTGCAAGGTTGGATTATCTAATCTCTTAAACTGATTATCTCTCTTGCATTGTTCATTGTGGATCACGGTTTAAAAAACTTGCAGCTTGGTTTACCTATATCAACACTCTTTAGAACAAAGGGAAAGGTGCTAACAGCATATTATAGCTTAACTCTCCACTAATTGGACTTGCACTGGAGCTGTACTGTATTTAACGAGTCAATTATGTATGAATAAAATAGTTTTAATGCTGAAAGGTTCGGGTCTTTAATTATCATACAGCATCAAAACGTCTTAACCTTCGCGATATCGGAGCACATGAGAGAGTCCGCAGCAACAGCAGCGTTTGTGAAGGCGCATCTCTGTTTGGTTGCTAAAAATTATGCAAATACAGATAATTGCAACAGGAGCACAGGTAAAGCCAGTACGCACAGGCAGCAGCGGTCTCGACTGAGATTTGCCATGATTTGATCAGCGTGTGATCAGCAAGCAGGTAGAATATAAATGAAGCGCTCGCGCTGCTCACTCACTTTACTTTTACTGCTGGGGCGGAGAAGAGTCTCGCGACTTTTACAAATCAGAAGGCTGTTAGAAGTTTAGGCAAGGCAAGGCAAGGCAAGGCAAGTTTATTTATTATAGCACATTTCATACACAATGGCAATTCAAAGTGCTTTACA